CCAGTCTCATCTCCTTCTATGACCAGGACATCACCTGGACATGGTAGAAAAGGTAGATATTATATACCTAGACTTCCAAAAGGCTTTTGATCTAGCATCACATGATATCCTTGTGAGGAAATTGGAACATTATGGGCTCAGCTGCTCAATGGTTCAGTGGGTGGGAAACTGGCTACACGGTAGGACCCAGAGAATTCTCATGAATGGATCTGTCTCATCCTGGTGCAAACTGGCCAGTGGTGTCCCTCAGGGGTCCATGCTTGGACCCATGATTTTCAACACCTTTATCAATGATTTGGATGAAGAAGTGAAAAGCTCACTGGCCAAGTTCGTGATGATGCCAAGTTATGGGGCAGTGTGGCCATGCCAGAAGATAGGTTACAGATATAGATGGACTTTGATGGGCTAGAGAGTTGAGCAGACTGGAACCAGATGAAGTTTAATACTTCCAAGTATAAGGTGCTCCTTCTGGGGGCAAATAACCCTCAACATACATACGGGCTTGGAGGTGACAGCCTGACTTGCACCACAGCCGAAAGGGACCTAGGGGTAATGATCGATCAACTTATGAACATGAGCTGTCAGTGCGATGCAATGGCCAGCAGGGAAAATAACATGCTGGCATGCATCAACTGATACATCTCGTGTAAAACTAAGGAAGTGATAGTCCCACTGTACTCAGCACTGGTGAGACTGCAGCTGGAGTACTGCATCCTGTTCTGGGCACCGCACTTCAATAAGGACATGGAAAAACTTGAGAGGGTCCAGAAAAGAGCCACCTGTATGATTAGGGACTTTCAAGGCAGTCTACCATTGGTAGACTGGCCCCAAGGAAGCGCTTGTTTCAGTCCCCCACAAATGTGGTCCTTAACAATTTTCTCAAAGTTCGTGCCAAGGATAGAAGAGAGACTAACCAGCCTATAGTAACTGGTTCCTCCTTCCTCCCCTTCTTGAAAATAGAAGCCCCTTCTTGAGTTGAGGCCCCAGTGAGGGGGTAGATGTGATATTTCTGTTTCCTGGTGTCCTTTCCATTAGGAGTGACTCCTCAACACTTACCTGGTAATAGAGAAAATGTAGTGTTTACTTAGTTTTTCTCCATTTGTGGGATAGAATAAAAAGGTAGAAAATTTATGGAGTGTGAGAGAAAGAGAGAGAGCAAGTGAGTGTGCACGCATGTGCATTTGTGTATGTGCATGCACTAGACTCTATTGATGGAAATGATGTGCTTAAGCAAGTCATTTTTACCTGTTATGGCCATTTGTTTTTATCTTCAAATACCTCTAAGGAAATTTTGACACTTGATTCTGTAATAAATGAGAATGAAATGTTTGCTCCACAGTGAACGTGATTCTGTTGTTTAGACTGACAATTTACTGACTAAAATGGAATGTCTTATCTTATCTACGCTAGAAGAAACATGGTGAAAATGGCCTTTACCTCATGGTGTTGTTGCCCTGTGGGGTCAGGCCAACTCTCAGGATCTCAATATTGTGCTGTTAGACAGGAGGGTCTGACACAATTGCACATATACAAACACACAAATCAATTAAGTGCATACATACACACACACACACACTACCAGCTCAGGCACATACATATCCAAACCAGCCTAGGCACATGCATACCTATCACCAATTCAAACACATACACTATACACCCCAAAAGTTAGACACAGATCACTAATTCATATATCATGCACACAATGACATATATATACACACACACTCACCAGTTCACACACATACAACCCACCTACACATACACACAGGTAAGTTCCTAATTTGGATGGTACAGTGTGTATGTGTGTGCTTGGGGTACCTGGGGGAAGGTTCAGGTGAGAGAGAGAGAGAGAGAGAGTTAAAGTGCAGGGAGTGAAAGTTGCCAGAACTGGGATTAGAACCAGTGGACTATAGAGAAGCTGGCTGAGGAACTGAGGCTTGGGTTTACTTAAGGTAGACTGGGGCTGGAAACTGAGGCAAACAGCTGAGATATTGGGGGGGGGCAGATATGTGGTGGCAAGGAGGAGACAGCTAGGAAATAAACTGAGGCAGAAACCCGGTTGCTCAGGGGAAAAGGAAAAGGCAGTGGGGATAAGACAGTGGCAAAGAAACAGGGGGTTTGGAGGTAGAGAGGAGCTCAGGACAGGTGTTGGAGGTGGCAGTGAGACAGAAGCAGGAGAGGGAGAAATGAGCCAGAACTTAGAGGGGCAAGGAGCAGAGATTGGAGCAGGGCGAAACCATAGTAAAGCAAAACCCAACTTAGGAGTCTAAATAACAGTTTTATTAAACAGACAACACACTACACAGCCTCATGAAGTTATTGTTTCACACACACACGCGCGCGCGCGCGCGCACACACACACACACACACACACACGCACTCACAATGGCAGCAGGAGAAAGAGACTCAGTGGAAGTCCCACTGGGTCTGTCTTCACTGCCCCTTTTTATAGGGGCAGACCTTGTGTGACCCTAGTGACAGGAGGCATGCCCAGGCAAGGGTCAGCCCCTGGTGTACTGAGCATGTGTGCTCCATGCAGGGATGTGCAATTTTGGGTGTCTGTAATGGTGGGGTACAATGGTAGCATTGCTGGTTCTACAGGTTCTTTTGTCTTTCAAATGCTGGGTTCTTGTCTCTGTTCCTGGGTGAGGTCCGTGGTTCCTGGATGAACAATGTGAAGTGATGGCTTGGTCATTACAGGCCATTCAGTAGAGGCCTGCTACCATTGTATTTTAATCATTCCCAATCACTCTCATTCATCTGGGAACCAATTTACATAGGAGGGGTACATGAATCATACAGTTGCAACACAGGGGATGCCTGGGCAAAGGACACAAGATGGAGGCTTGACATACAAAATGGAAACTTGACTTGACTTATGCTAACTTACATATATAGGCCTAAAACAGTAATCACACAATATAAAATCAGTACAAACATAAAAATTATCACTTACAAAACAGTGGGTATCGATAGCAAAATAACAGGGAACTTATTTGGAAAGAGAGGAGAGAAAAATAAAAATTACTACCTAAAATAAAATGTAAAGCTTATCCTACATCTTAGCTTACTTATACTTATCTATCGGGAATAGAGAGGGAGAGCAAAAGTCAGAAATGGTTGGGGAAGGGGAGGGGGAATGTATTTTAAAATAAATAAAAAAAGAAAAACTGGGGTTTTTGCTACAGTGTAAATCGCCTTTCTTCAGAGAAAGTTGATAGCTTCCCTGTATATGTGGACAGGAGTGACTTATGGACATGTACAATGGCTAGTGTTTTAGCACAGAGACAGGGGGAGTTTGACTCTGAAAGAAAAACAGACAGATCTGTTTTATAATTAGAATAAGTGGCAAAATCAAACTCTTCCTGAAGGAAAAATCATAGCATTCCTTACTAACTGATTGCTAAGACATCATGAGTATCAAGATGGCATCATTAATTCATCTTCCTAGTACAAGAAAAAGTGAAGAAATGATGGGATAAAACATATGTCCCCTGTATTTCAGCTAGTAAAAATATTAAGTGGCAAGATAATATCAAAGAAACTATGTTTGTATGAGGAAGTATTTTACAACTAAGATGCACAAGATGTGTAAAACTATCAAATAGTTCTTATATAGTATTCACAGTGAGGGGAGTAATGAAAATTGTTATCCATGTAAGTCATGATCTTTTTCATTTGTTTTGTTCTTTGGTATTTAATTTTATATTAAATTAATGTGTGTCCTGTTAAGAACTCTGATGTTCTTACAGGGTATGTATGAAACAAATGCTTTCTTTTTCCAACCATTGCAATATATCCTTTTTAAAATCAAGACTTGCTGCAGTAAGCTGACTAGTAAGATAGTTGAATATTTCCTCTTCAGGTAGACGTGGGTTTAAATCTTCTACGAGTCAATCTTAGAAAGGAAAGATGATTTTGTAGATGAGGCCCAGTTCCGTGTTTCATATGAGGTTGTTCATAATGCAGTAACAAAGGCCTAACTAACAAATTTTGTGCCCTAGGCAAAACTCCCTTGGGGCGGGGGGTAGAGGGGTTAGTACATGACCTAGAGGGAGGAGGCTATTCATGTGAAGCACCCCTAGCCCATTGGTGTAGGGTTGCTCCTACCATGGCAAAGGCTTTAGGTGGAGCTCCATTCTGGCACCCCCTCAAGTCAGCACCAAAAGCTGGTCCCCTGCTCACCTCCACTTAGTGACACATTGTCCATTATGCTGTTTGGTCCAACTCCATGGGTATTCCTCTTTATCTAGTTGTGATCATTCATGCAAATTAATTTTTGTTTTCAATATTTGGGAAATCACAGCTTTTTGTACACAAATCCCTATTCACATGCAAACAAGAACATTCTTTTTTGGTTTTTTGGTTTTTTGTTTTAAAATTTTGTCATCTGTTCAGAGAGCAGAACTGATGCCACATAAATTAGGTCACTGATCATACACTATCAATGATGCATAGTTGAAACTCGCAGCTGAAAATCAATCATTTGTCTGAAATGTGTTCACATAACTGGTCGTTTAAAAAAATCATGAATAACAAATATTTTTTTAAATAACCTCCTAACCAAGAAAGGCTAAATATAGCAGATTGTGTGCAGTGAATAGTTCAAGTAGCTGTATTAGTAGATTTGAACTTCTTCCAGAGACTTCCTATAGGACAGGACTGTCCAACTTTTAAGCAGTCAGAGGCTGCTCACCCTGGTGGCCACACAAATATTGGACCCAGGCCACACCCCCTCACCACTGCACCACCATGGTATGCAGCCCTCCTACATAAATGTATACTGCTGCACCATACATGCACAATAGCAGTCCCCACTTCAGCTCCCTCTCTGCAACATGCCATGGGCTCCCCTAGCATGGGAGCAAGAAGCAAAAGCTGAGGAAGGGAGAGCATGGGTGACTGGTGCCTCCTGGGGGGGGGGGGGGGACTTGACTGAGCTCATTGACTGACTGTTTGTTTTAAACATTCATGTGAATTTTTGCTTCTTCTGCTTTCAGAATTATGGTTTGGAGACAGAAAACCTAAGAACACTTTCTCACAAGCTGAATGCCTCAGCCAAAAATCTTCAGAATTTTATAACGGGTAGAAGGAGGAGTGGCCATTATGATGGCAGGGCCTCCAGACGACTGCCAAATGATTTTCTTACCTCTGTGGTTGACCTGATTGGTGCTGCCAAGAACTTGTTAGCCTGGCTGGACAGGTAATTTATAACTTTTTGATTCTTTCCATGGAAAGAGTAATTGTTTCCACTTATCTGCCTTATCTGTTGCACTTTTTCTCTTGCTTCTAGTATTAAATGCTGATATTAGAATTCCAGTTAGAGGTTTTGCTTTGTAAATTTGTTGTATATTTAAAGGCAAGGCTTCATAGACATTCATAGGCTTCATTTATTGTATATTTAAAGACCAGGCTTCATAGACCAGGCTTCAAGACCTCAGGGGTTGGTTGTGGGATGCTGGAGTTTCCTTTGGTTCACCAGTTTAAAATCTCCCCCTGGCTGACGGCAGCCTATATGAAATTAATTATTTTGGCTCTATTCCTAGTGACAAATGTACCTGTCACCTCTGTAGATGGCAATATAATTGGCAATTTCAGAAGGGAGTCTAAGGTTAAATGAACATGGAAATTGAACTGCATTGTAACCAGAAAAAAAAAGGGACGAGTAGTCACGGTAAGTCAGGGTTAACAAAAATTAAGGCAACAGAATGGGAAGCTTGCAATGTGGCTCTCCAAGCTTCATATCTGTTCTTGGGTAGTTTTAGTTAATAAGTGGTGATACAGTTCCTCTTTTATGAATTGTGAATCGTTGTACCAAGAAGCTCTTGTCTTGAACTTTTTGTTAAACTATTGACTATATACAAGTTAAGCTTTTCATGGATTCTATTGGACGTGTAAGTTACACCTCAAAAAGCATCTTGGTAGTAAAACATGCTAAATTATGACCAGATTTGAGCAGTCATACGCTCACAGGCTGCAAATGTGTTATTTCTCATAAGAACAATGAAGTCTGGAGTCTCATAAGAAATATGGGCCTTGGAGATTCCAAGGAAAACATACGTCCTGCAAGCAGTTGTCACTTTCTCAGTAGGAGGTACTCTTTTTCTAGAATGACTACAGAAGTAAGGCTCTCATGCTCCTTGAGAGCAGTGGTTGTCAACCAGGGGTATGCATACCCCTAGGGCTACTTAAAAGGTCGTAAGGTGTATGCAAAACTGATGTGTCTGATAGTGTGGCCAATTAAATGTGGTGTGTGTGTGTGTGTGCACCGCCACAGCACAGCATACAGGTGGCCAGGAGTCAGCCCGGCAGTGTGGAGAGCAGCCAGTTCTGCCTGATAAGTCTGCTGTGAGGCAAGGGACGTGGGGGGACGGGGCGCAGATTGAGGCCCCAGCAATGGGGGAGGGACTGGGCCTAGGGAAGAGGTATGGGCTGTCCAGCCAGACCAGGGCGCAGGACTGAGCAACATGCAGGGGCAGGGGGTGGCTCCTGCCACTATGTACACCCCTGGGAGGGCATGGGGGCATGTGCCCTCAGATCTGCGCACAGGGCAAGGGCAGGCTGCTGCTGCAGGCTGGGGCCAGCAAGGTGCTGGATTCTTCCTGGCAGGGGGCTGGGCAAGGCTGTGCTTGGGACAGATGGCAGCGAAGCTGGGGGGTTGGGGGGGGAGGGTTGAGGGAGCTATGGTGAATTTTGGGGTGGCTGCAGCCCACCCCCCGGTACCCCACCCTCCAAGCACCATTGCCACACAGCCCAGCCCAGCACCCTGCCAGGAAGTGCTTGGTGCCACCCCAGCCCACAGCAGCAGCCTACCCCACCTCCTGTGCAGATCTTAATTCTTAAAATAAGAAAAAATATAAATGGGTACATGAGCTGAAACTTGGAGACAGAAGGGGTACACTTGTTTTAAAAGGTTGAAAACCCCTGCTCAAGAGTGCTGTTGGTTGTGGTCTTCTGACTGTACCATAAATAGAGGACTTAACTATTTATAAAAGAATCAAAACTCATGGAACAGGTGATATATTCTATTAGACCAACTAGATATTTGCAAATTATTGTATTTAACTGTTTGTAGTTATTTAAAGGTGTCTGTTCCATTTTCCCCCAAAATAAGAAACCCTAGATAGCTCTGGTATCTTAACTAAAATCCAACTAACTTCCCACTTCAATATCCTTGTTTAAATAATTTGTTATTCACTTCACATTACAAAAGCTTGATGTTCTTTCTGGGAAAGAATGTCTTGACTTCTGTTATGTGATTTGCATTTCTGTAGTAAATGAATGGTCTATCCTCAGCATACAATACACATCCTCAAAAGAGCTCTTGAACCCTTCAAAAGAAGGACAAAAGAGTGTTATTAAAAAGCAGGTTTTATTTTAGATTTTCTATCAAAACAGAAAGGGATTATAATTGATCTGGTTAAGTCTAGTTTAATCAAAGTTACATTACCAGTCCAAACTCCCTGTTTTAAAAGCTGTTTATATTATAGGAAGACCTGTGTAAATCTTCTGAGACCCATCTTCATATACTGCTATTTCATTTTGGAGAAATGGTGGTAATTGAATAGTTTCAAATCATCATCTTGATAACATAGAAGAGAGAATATTACATAACAAGACTCCATGCTCTCCTCTTATTTTTGCTTTCCCTCCTCATTTCTATGATAGAATTTTGAAACACAAAGGAGTTTTTTTTCCCCTTTGTGCACTTAAATGGTACTTACTTATTCATGTAACTGCTGACTTGGGTATTGGTGCACAGTTTGAACCCCATGTAGCTATGCTTGTTATGCGCTCACTAAACATGTTCAGGAAGCTGCCTTCTGACTACATAGATGTCTGGGTAGAAAAGAATTTGCTGGGTGTGCATGTAATCCTGGGTAGTTCCTGAATCTTTAATCCCATTAAAAAAACATAAATAGAGGGTGTTTGACACTGGAGAAGGCAGCCATCCCTCTGTATAACTCGAAAGCCTAAAGCAGGGGTGCTCAACCTGTGGCCTGTTGGGCCAGATCCAGACCACAGTACCATGGCATCTGGCCTTTGGGGCTTCCCGTGGTTCTGGAAATTTGGTGGTGGTAGAGCGATGACATCACTCCCCTGCTACCATATCTCTGGATGCATGGGGAGCCCTAAACCCTGTACATTGGAGCTGGTGCCTGATCCCAGCATATAGGGCTGGGTGGGGGTAATAGCAGGCCCCAGGGCCCCATCTCATGTAGGGAGCTGGAGGGAGTCTTGCCTCCTCCAGAACCAAATTCTGGCATGAGGGGGATGGGAAGAGGTGGTGCTGGACCCCTGTGACCCAATCCTGACATGCAGAGGGGTAGGAGGGGGCAGTGCTGTGCCCCAGGGCCTGATCTGGGCCACAGATGGCCTTATCCAGCCCACAAACAGACTCCTTGCAACTCATCTGGCTGGGGAGGCCAAAAAGTTGAATACCACTGGCTTAGAGGCTAAAGGGCACTTGTCAAAGGAATGAGAGATCTGGCCCCGCTCACCCAGAGGGGTTTTGCACTTTGCTTCCCCAAAGTGTTCTAATGGTTCATTAGACCATTGGCTAGGCGTTACTCAAAGCAACTACCCAGCATTTTTTTTAAAGTTGCCCACTAGCCAGCCAGGGAAGACATAAAGACAGGAAGAGAAGAACCCAACAGAGAGAGTATGTGAGACTCAGTACTATAGTTTCTGCCTTAGAAGAGAGGAGCCCCTGGGCTTTAACTTCAGTCCCTGTTCCTGGTGGGGCAGAAACTATGGTAGTGATGTTTGTCTGTTTTATCCAATGCATATTCAGAACAAAGTACAAAGGTCTTGGCATCAAGAGAAGGGGTGGAAAGCTTTCTAGACAATACCTAGTTCATGCTGGGAAGTGGGAGGCACTGGTTCAAAACCCCTCAGGGCATAGGAGGCCTTGATCCAGGTCTTCCATTCTCTTGCCAAGTACCTTTTAAGTTATTGGGCCTTAAAGTGGAAGGCCCACCTTCTTTTTCCTCCAGAATCAAACACTTTTACTTGTATTTTTGGCAACTAAAGTTTTGGGATTTACTCTGCATTGTGTGTTTGCCCAGGTAATTCCATTCCCCACAAATGCCTATGAGGAAGTGACCTGGATACTGAGCTTCCTTCTCTGTTTTACTTCAAGAAGGCATACATGTGCTTGGATTATCCTATTCTGTTGCAGGTGGAAATAGAATCCAAACTGTGCATAAGTGCCAAAAACTGCAGTTACACAGCGATATAAATGCTAGTTAGGCACATAAAAGTTAAATAGTATTTGGCCCTAAATGTTTTGTGTTAATCAGTATTACATGTTCTCACAGACACTAAATCAAAGGAACAAATTTTCTACATAGAGTAGAACTATAGTACAGTTGGGAAAAAGATGCATTTTGTTTGCTACATCTTTCGTGATGACAGTGATGTGTCTATATTTTGTGTTTCTCTTTCTGAAGAAACATTGCATGCGTTAATCTATTGGCTCACTAGCCAGTATATGAATTGTCCATTCATTAGAAAAAACATAAATATATATTTTAAAAAATTACTGGTTCACATATGGTAAGCAATTGGCCTGTTTGAATTTTGAGATTCCAGATGGAAGTGAATGCACAAGCATCATAAAAATGTAGATATGACCAGAAGTCCAAAAATTGTTCTTAGTATTTCTTTCGGATTACATTTTCAGAGTTGCTGAGTATCCAATCCAGCTCAAGTCAGTGGCAGTTGGGGTGTTTATCTTTTCTGAAAATCATTCACTAGGGCTAAAACAGCTCAAGGCTAAATTTTCCATCATTCAGTTTGCACAATTAGGGCTAGATTTTCAGAATAGCTGTGCATCAAATAGATTCATCCTTTTGTATTTGACATTAAATTTAATCTTAATATAAATATAAATACACCCCCCCAATACTCCCTAAAAATAAATTCAGTACAAAGTAATACCTTGACAAATATTTCAAATTGTAATTATCAAAGTAAACACTACAACAGTTTGACTGATGTTATTATATGTTTTATCATATAGTACCCAGGTCTTTTAATGAGCACATTTATGCATACAGTTTATTTCAGAAGAAATTCTTAAAAAGGGTGGAGGGATGGTAGAAAGAACAAATTGTAAATTTTCAGGTGCTATCTAAGTGGAAGATCATTATCCTTTTGACCATTACGCTCTTCTTTTGTATGATGCAAGTCATCCATATTTTTGTGTCTGTCCTATAATTTCCAAAATCGGTGAGGATAACCATTCCTGAAGTTGTAACCAGGATATTCTGTGTATTTTACTAGTGTATTTTTAAATTACATGTATTAGGAACTGGAACAACTTTGTGGCAGATTGATACTGTTTCCTATAAAGCTATTGTCTATCTTTGACAGGTCTCCATTTGTCAGTGTAACAGAATACTCATTGCTAAAAAACAACATTGTTCAACTGTGCCTGGAATTAACAACCATTGTGCAGCAGGTAAGAATTGGTTTATCTTGTACTATTGCTGAATCACCTTCATATTGCTGAAGAAATAGTAGGGTATGACCAACCTCCCTCTCCCCCTGCAACCCCCCCCCCCCCCCCCCACCTCAAACAAACAAATAAAAACTCTCTGCCTTATAAAGGCATTTAGGAAATTTCCAAAACAATACATGGGAATTTTTAATCTGTAATTTAAACTCTTTGCTGGGGGCACTGGGAAAGATTTTGTGCCTCAGTGATCTAAATAGGGTTTCTCACTCTGGGGTCAAAGGATATGGAGTATAGGAGCAGATGTCCACTGGCTCCTCATGTTGGGTTTTGATCCATTAGACCAATAACCTATCATCATGAAATAATTCAGGTACAGAAATACAGGGAAACTATTGTAGTGAACAGCAAATCTAGTACTATTGATTTATTGACTAGGTTACAACTAACACATTAGAAGTGGTCCATAAGTTTTCCTAGTGTTCCTTCTTAGAGCTATCGTTGGACTAGAAATCAGCCGAGAGTTGTGAGGCGGGAAATTTCCCTTTCTAGCCAATAAGAGATTCAGTGAGCATACACTAATAAACCTGACTAGAGCCTCCAGCATCTATCATCTGGACGTTGTAGCCACTCTGCTCGGATACGAGAGCTAATTAATTGAATAACCTCCACAGACACAAAGTAACATAAATCGAATTAAATGTTTATTGGAATGTACAGACCAGAAAATCTAATATTAACCGTGGAACTTGTTTTAACTAAGTTACTATACCGAATACTATGACTTATTATACCCAATACTACTATTTGAACTATACTAACAAGACACACATGGGACAACAAGGGGAAGACGGGAGACAATTACCTCAGGAACTGCAGGCTGATACAACCAGAGGGAAATGGGGTGATTTTGGAATCTAGCTCCAGCAGTTTCCTGTCAGAACATTGGGTCAATTCCAAAGGGCAGGTCACAGCCAGGCTAATCTGGTACAAGATGAGGAACGGTGCTTCCTGTGGCATCAGGAAGTAGAGGTGGCAACAGAGTTCTTCAGGTCACTCTTGCCCTTACTCTCTCTCTGTCTTCTCATGCTCCCAACTACCTTGACATATTTCTCTAATTTTCATACATGTTCACCCTTGCACTCAATCACTCTCTCCAATACTCTTTTCAGTTAGCCCAAGACACACACACCCACCCCATGTCCAGGGAAAACCTTTATTCTCTCATACACCTATTCAACAACCCCATACAACAACAACAACAACAACAACAACAAAACGACCCTCTCAAGAAAATGATTTATATCCTTTTTCCACACGACACTAGTTACAGCAACCCCCTGCTGCACATGGCACTCCCTTTCTCACATGGTACTCTTCCTCTGGTACTTTTCCTCTTATAAGCAAAGGCTGCAGGGGTATGAGAGGTCAAGACGCATTATGCTGTACACTATGTAGAAAACATATTAAATGTAGCTACTAAATGATACCAGAGCTAGGCCATATTAGAAATGCTTTACAGATTCTATGAGTTTGACACACACCAACAAACAAATGTGATATAAAACATATTTAAATTTTCATAGCACTATTATCATCATAGTGCCTGCATGTAAGTAGGCTGGCCACTGGCCACAGCTGGAGCTAGTCTGAGATATAGCCAGGGCAACCAATTCTACCTCACAACCTGATGGATTGCTAGAGTCAAGAGTGGAATGTTCATTGTTCAGTGCTTCACAAGCCTACAGTCATCTGCAAGCAGTATTTGTCTGCCTTCAGGTTTTATCTCCTTGCCTTTCTCCTGCATTCTGCTTCAACCTGGTTCCCTAGTTCCTGTATCCTGCCTGGTTCCTACCATAGCCTTTTCTAGCTGCTGCTCTGGTCCTGTCTAGCTACTCTGTCTCCATGACACTATAGGTAACCATTACCATTTGCAGGGGATACGTTCTTGAGATCCCTGCAAGTGGCAAAATCCACAAATATGGCACTGCATTCATGAACGTCATGAACACAGTGCCCCTGGCAGCTGGGGGGGGGGGGGGGGGGGGGCATGGCTGCACTGGCAGCAGTGGGAGCCCAGCAGTGGCAGTGACGGGAGCCTGGTGGTGGCAGTAGGAGCCCAGCGGTGACAAGCACAGAGCTCCCAAGGAGCTCCTGTAAGGGTATTTAAGATGTGGGTTTGGCATTTGCAAATATTTGAAACTGCAAATGCTGAACCCGCAAATAGTGAGGCTTTCCTGTATAGCTATTTGTTCAGGTTGCCAGTCCAAACTTTTGAACAACAATCTGCAAACTTGATGCTGAAAATCAAACTTTTTTTAGTGATATATGCTTTACATACAGTAAATATAACTCTTCTGCCAGGCCTTGGTCAAGGGACTTAACACCAACTATAGTAAAAAAAGTTTGGTTGGCTGTAAAAAGTTTGCAGATTGTCAGTAAAATATTTTCTTTGGTTGCTAACCCTGTTTGACTTGAGCAATGGTTTTACACCAGAGGTGCTCAACTCGCAGCCCACAGTCCAGATCTGGCCCACAGTGGCACCTTATCTGGCCCATGAGATTCCCCACAGATCTGGAAATTGGGCAGCTAGGGAGCCCCACTGAGCACTGCTCCCCTGCTGCCAAACTTCTAGACCAATGGGGAGCCCCATGTCCTGTGTGCTGAATCAGGCACCTGATCTCAGATCACAGTGCTGGGCAGAGGTGGCACCAAGCCTCAAGACCCAATCCCAGTGTTGGGGGCTGGGATGGGGAACTGCCAGGCCCCCAGGGTCCAACTGTAGCATGGGGGCATGGGATCAGGTGGTGGCAGGCTCCCAGGGCCTAATGCCAGTGCTTAGATTAGGGAGTGGGAAGTGCTGGTCCCCAGGGCTCATTACATATGCACAGGGCTCAGTCTGGCCCATGGACTGGCTCTGCACCATTCTTCTGGTCTGCAGGGCCTAATGCTTGAGTATACCACTGCCTTATACCATAGGGGATATGGTCTACAAAGCCCTGAGAGAGTGTTCCACACAGGGTGCTGTGCTCCTGCCCGGATACTAAGTGCTGCTGCTGTGCTCTGTCTGTACATCAAGACAGAGCACCAACTCATTTTGAAATGGAGACTGCCTCCAATCTAATTTAGAAAAGAGCTTCACTCAAGCTCAGGTTTTCTTAGTATTTTTACTGATGACTCCATTTTTATGGAAAGGCATGTTTAGGCTTGGTTTGTGGGTTTGGCGGGGGGTTGGTTTTGGGGGTTTTTTTGTTTGTTTTTTTACAGATGGTCTGTAAATTTATAGACAATTTGAAGCCCTGCTCCTGATGTCCAGCTTCAACTTGACCAGTCATTTTGCATCTTAGCCATTAATTTAGGCTCTTCAGTAAATGCTTTGATTCTTGACCCTTATCTTTGCCCTGACTCCAGTCTAGTTTTCACCACTGACTCGTATGCTTATTATATTCTTTGCTCCATTGTCTGTCTTGGGCAAAACTGATGATTCCCTTATCTTTCTTTAAAGCTGTTAGTTTATGCTTCAGACCTTCTCCACTTAAACTTCATGAAATGTCTTTCCTTTTTTGCAAGTTAGTTACCCATAGAAATTGCAGTTTATGAGCAGTCACCTGTTATGGTCCTAGATCCACTTGCACACCTCTCAACCTGCAGCTGTGGGAATAATGGGTGACTGTAATAGAATAATTGAAATAAGATTTTTTTTTTTTTTCAGCAGTGGAGACAACCGCTGCTTTACAGTCCTTTTTTCATTGTGTAAATGGATGGGAGGATAGTGAGGCAACAGGTGGGCTTTGTAAGCATGAGGTGAAATCAATGAATTAAATAATTACTGCCTCATACAGTAGTAGCACCACCACACACACAGGGCTCATAGGAAAAGAATACCCATCACCTGCTGAGGGGTATCCTATCAGAAAGCTGCTGATGCAAAAAGAAGCAGTCTGCTGTCTCTGCTTGCAAGTGCTGTCAAAGAAACACAAACAAACCCTCATTTGGGAAAGAAGAAAGACAAGTAGTTAAACTGAAGCTGTCAGAAACGGAGTACACTCAGCAAATGAAAGAGTATACATAGCAACACATGACAGATCACAGGGAAGCCCAGAACAAAACGCAGAAATTATATAAAAATAAATAATGTGAGCAATTAAAATTATATCCAGTTTCTCAAATTGCATAATAATTTCTAATTTGACTTTTTAAAAGGTAACACAGTTAAGTATTTTCAGAGACAATAATGCTGTAGTTGCATACTGAGGACCTGATTCTGATTGTTTGTCAATCCCGAATTCATTTGATATTGGAAAAAGACTTTCTATTGATTTGCTAATAGCATTTGGAATAATATTATTACATAATGGAATAATACTTGTCTAATAAAAAGATGCACACTGAGAGATCTCTTTTTCACAATGTATTTTAGACTTTTGTAATAAAGAAAATGTTTTAAATGTTATATGGCAAGATGCTCAACCCCTAGCCTGTGGGCCAGCTCTAGCCTACAGCACTGTGTCATCCAGCCCATGAGGCTTCCCCCTAGATCCTTAGGGATCCCCACAGGCTGTGGCCCTACACATGAGATCCAGCATGCAGGGTAGCACAGAGCCCAATCCCAGTTCACAGGGTGAGGCGGGGCAGCATGGGACTGGGTCTATAGCAGGGATGCCATCCAGCCCTGTTGGCTGGATGAGTGATGTTGAGCTGGTCCCTGGGCTGGATTGGACTTGAAGGCCAACACTGCATGCCAGATCCAGCACATGTCCTGAAGCATCCAGAGCAGACACTGAATGTGGCATTATCCTATTCTGGCTGCTCCAGGGTTTCACTGCACATGGCAGTTGCTCCACTGCTCCAAGGCCATTCTGCATGATGCATCCATTCTGGGATGCAGCATTGGATCCAGCGTGGAGCTGATGTGCTAGAACAGGTGATGTGTGACACATGGGCCTGGAGTGGTTGGAGCTGGTGTTGTGTGCGTCATGTAGGGCCATCTGGCGGGCCCTGCATAC